CTTATTTTCTGGTTTCGTTCATATTTTGCTTGTTCAATTTAATTAAATCATGTATGCATTCATTTCATTCCTTTATATTCAATTAAATTAAACTAAACAAAATATTCTCTTCACTTTATAATTGGTTTTCCTGGTATAATTCTAGGTCATATCTGAGTCCCGAAGAGGCTAAGCCAAACCCAGGAATGGTGGAGAAACCCAGGAATGGTAGGGTCCTGAACCACTGGGTTTGCGCAGGCCATACTTAAAGAAGAAAACCCCGGCACAGAACAAGCCGACAACTGGGATCAAACAGCACGCAGCCAGAAGCACATGAAAAGTAACTTCTACGCACCGCTGCTTCACGTCAATGATGGTGATGCCCGGGTGAGGAGTTAGGTCGGCACCGGCCGAATCTTCTTCTGCCTCTTCAATGTCGTCAGAACTCCGACTGCACATGAGCGCCCGTGAGTATAAGCATCGCTGTGACCCCGTGCACAGGAGCATACCGTCTAAACGCCGCAGGATCAAGCTTCACCTTGTTTGAAGCCACGTACCCAGAGAGCCGAAAACCGCGCATCGGGATGGTCCTGAGGGTATCTCCTGAGAAGCCCAAGCTGCAGAATCATTCAAAAAGCGGTACAAGCTCAAGCTGACCCTAAGCCCTAAACCGTAAACCCTAAACTGCAGTGCTCAACAACCGAAGTCAAGTTTGCTTTGCCCGGCAAGACCTCCAAACCCAAACCCAGACCCCTAAATCCCGAAACTCCAGAAGCCTAAAACGTGAAGAAACCCACCCGTAAGTCAATCCGTGTGTCCCAAGTGGCCCTTGAAAAATAGGATTGTTGATTCCTCTTGGTCAGTTGTGAAGCTGCAGAGGGAACCCCAAACACGACCAAAGTAAAAAAGGCTAAGACTCAGGAGCCTAGAAGCCTCTACCAAGCCTTAATGCCTTTGTACAAGACCCACGTCAAGCTCAAATTGGGAACCTGCCGACCCTAAACCCCTGAACCCCTAAACTCCTCAATCCTAAAAAAAAAACCTCCAACCCCGAACCCCTCAACCTCAATCCCTAAATCCCTCGACCCCCAAAGCCTCTTGGGCGCCATAGGCAAAGAGCCGATTCCGCAGCTGCGCCGCCTGGAACGCCAATGCCCCCAGGAAGGAGCCAAGCATGGCCTCGGGAGAGACCAGCAAGTCAGGCTACGGGTGTAGGGTTTCGGGGTATAGAAGCTTAAGGGTGTGGCCCAGGAATCCAGAGCACTAAACCCCAAACCCTACCATATCGGAAACCTTAGGATCCCTAAACCCTTTAATTGTAGTGTTTAAGGTCCAGGGTTGAGGGTGGTATAGGGTATTGTATCGGACTGTAACAGGAGTGATAGGGAGCTTGAATGGTTTTTCAGTAGGACGGTGTTGTGGGATAGTTGCAGGAAGGGGGCTCAGGGCCTTAATGTTCGGGCTTTAGGGATTTGTCAAGGCCTTGTAGACGCCGATCTTATACTACAACATACCAGGATATACGATAACCTACTATAGTTAGTATACACGAAGATACCACTACATATACTTTTGTGTACCATGTATATAGGATCTCAAGTTTGCCTAGCAGGCGAACCGAAACCAAAAACACAAGACCCTCTAACAACCTGCGTGAATATGTAACTTAATCAGAAGCATGAGGAGTGAATAAGCCAATGATCAAATGTATACGCGTCGATACACCCATCCAATTCAAAAAGCGGGCCGCATCCCCTGAGAAAACAGACCCAGAACCCTGAAACCTAACCCCCCCAAAAGCCAAACAGGTTAAATCCTGGGCCCCCAGACCCAAAACCCCAAGATCTCTGAACCCCTACAGTCGAAACCCATCGACCGGCTGGCTGCTGTTAGTATAGCTGTAATAAGAGATTATAAAGGATAAGTTTTAGAGTTTAGGGAGAACTTATAAAACATAAACTTTAACCCGAAATCCTGAAGCCCTAAAACCCTGCAACAAAAACTGCAAAGCCTTGAATGCCGAAGCCCTAAACCCGTCTTCGCCTAGGCCAACTCCGCTTGATCCCCAATACTCGGAACCCGCAAGCGCCTCGAAATTGTCAAGCCGGAGCATCTCCTCCGCCAGGATAAAGGTGGCTTAACATCGGGGCCGCGACGCGTAGAAAACGATTCGGGGGTGTATCCAGGGTTGTTTTAGTGGTGTTGAGGGTTGTGGAGGGATGTATAGGGCACGAATAGGTAGAATAGGATGTCTAGGTGCCTGTCTAGCAACTCGTAAGGTTCACGGCTCCAGGGTTCAGGGTTTGGGGTTTAGGGATCGAGTGGGGCTTAAGGTTTAACTCGAACTCAGTAACTCCTATAGATTCTAGATTCCAGACCCCCAAACCTAAAAACCCGAAGTCCGGTAGGCTCCGTCGCGACAACGCCCGGATGCACGGCGTTGCTGTACACACCCAGGTGCCCAAGACGCCTGCATCGCGCTGGAGCGACCAGAGACGGTGCCCAATCTTTGGGGAGCTAACTTGCCGATCTAGATGGGTCACTGCTAACCCGTGAGGCGCCTGTCAATTTCCTGGGAGAAGATGAGGTTGGCCAACTTAGCCGCGCCGTACCTTGCCTGGGTGCAGGCTTCGCGCACCAGAGTCTGTCATCTTTGGGTGTCGTTCCTTATGCTGAGGGTGGCCATGACTCAATTTCGTGATGTTTCTGTGCCCCATATTTTCTCAAACTGTCTACCTATCCGTACTCCTCGCGTTGCAGCTGCTTGTTTGTCGTCTTGCTGCTACACTTGCTAATGATGCTAATGCTTGTGGATTGATACCGGTCATGGCAGAGGCAGGAGCAGGGCAACCAGTCAGTCTACAACTTTTCCAGGAAGGGACCCAAGCGTCTCTATAGCCAAGGTCTTGCTGCTAAGCAGCGTATGGTCCCATAGCGTCCTTGTCGTTGATGCCTGGTCAGGGACTGATAATCGCTTTAGGGGTCCAGTTTCGGGCACTGAGACAGCAGACCCCTGTCACACTCCCTACACCCTAAACCACCTAAGCCCTTTAAACCCCAAGCACAGCCACCCTCAAACACTTTAGGGGCCGCCATCACGAGAACTAGTAAGGAACCATCTTTGGTTAAAGCCCTAAACCCTATACCCTATTCAAGACTGTAAGGCGATACGAACACCTCAAAGCTTAAGCCCGTTGGCCTTCTAGGGACAGCGGCACACCGGCTACCGGAGCACCACGGTGAGCACCGGAGGTGAGATGCACCAATCGTCTCAGCCAACATGGGGCTTCTTGGGTTTAGGGCTCTGGAGGTTTAATTTTAGGGTTTAGGATACTAAAGATGAAAGTGTTGGGGTTGAGGGCTTGGTGTTTAGTGGGTGTAAAGGAGCTCCATAGGTTCAGGGCTGAGTGGGCTTGGGGTTTCGGGTTTGATTCTAGGGGTTTAGGGCTTGGCTTCAGTACAAGCTAGGCGAGAGCAGGGACGGTTCTTGGGAGGTGAAGGAGTATGTCAGCAAAGACGTCTAAACATGTTAAAACTACAAGGGAGATGTACCTGCATTGCAGATAATTTCGTGGGACAAGCACCCGGAATTAAGTAAATGCTTTTGCACAATGTAAATTCGATTAAACGGTGCGTACAGTGCTGTACTGCCAAATCCCGAACCGATCCCCAGAATCCGAAACCCTGACCCCTGCACCCGTCAACCCCCTTAAGAGGGAAAAGCTGCACTCCCCATCGACGGCAAGGGTCGACGGAGACGAGCTTTGCAGCAGTGGAAGCAATCGTGTCGTCAGGAGGAAGTGGCCAAGATAGTTGGCCTGTAGACCCCCAATCCCAAACCCTGAACCCTTAACACTAAGCTTCGTGCAGAAACCTCTGGGTGTACGATCTGGGGTGTAGTATGATGCGAGATCTAGCCTATTCTTGCCGTAGGCTTAGCAAACTCCTGTAAAGGGGTTATAGGGGGCTATAGGGGTCATTGGGTCTGCACGGTTTAGAGTCTAGGGCTTAAGGTTTGGGGACCCAATAACTTGAATAGGACCGTCTGAGGTGGATGTTTGAGCTCTATGGGAGTGCGTCGAATTTTCCGGGGCAGTGCCCCCTTAGCTTCAGGTTTAGGGTTCCAACAGTACCGGCCTGGAAGGTAGTCTCGATACCATTTTGCGTCAGCTTGTGCGGGAACTGGGTCGCGACGCCCGCATTGTTCACCTTAGCAAGCACAGGCTGTGATGGTCTAAACTCTCAACCTACATCCTCAATACATAAAGCCACAAAGCCCGAAACCTATCCTAGGCTGTTAGTGCCTCCCAGCATCCAATATGTGTAACGCTGGCAGCCGCTCCAGCTGCGCAGCGACTTGCTCCACCTGCCGCAGGTCCTTCGAGAGACTCCCAGCACTGTTACGGCTTCGGGTTTAATCCCTAAACCCTAAACCCTAAACCCTAAACCCTAAACCCTAAACCCGAAACTGGAAGGTCTAGAGATGCTGAGCTTAGAATCCTCAGGGCCCCAGGGCCGGGCCGCAAAAGAGCAACAACCCCACAGACGGAAAAGAGCCTCCCCAACCCTCCCCCGAAATTCCCTGGAATTCCCTGGAATTCAGGATTGAGGAATTGAGGGTTCTGGGATCGAGGTTTAGGGTAGGGTTTAGGGTAGGGTTTAGGGGATTAGGGATTGCCTGGAACCAAACGCCCCAGTTTTCCTCAGATTCTGAGCCTGGCTGTGGGATCTTTGTAAGCCCAGGCACTGTCAAGTCCAGCTTCAAGATCTGAACTTGCTGCAGACCTGGTTGGTCTAGGTTTTGGTAAGAATTATTTAGGGCCCAAATGTTGCTTTTTTTTGGGGGGGAGGGGGGGGG